CATGCTTAAAATCTCGATTCCTCGCTTCCTGGGCTTCTTCTGTTAACTCTCCAAGTGGAAGAATATTCGATTCAATTATTATTTGACCATGACACAATACTTTGTGTACTGTTGGTGTTAGTTCCCTCCATGGATACAGAGATACAAGTAATTTAGAAATTTCAGATGTGTATTCCCCAAATCGATTTTCATTTATTTTATGTTTACTATTCAGTGCCATTAAAATAGTTTTAACTCTTCGAAGCAACTCCTTGTCGATTCCAGTTATTTTTGAAGTAATTTCAAAATCACGAAAAAACCTTCTCGACGTATTACCGTCATTTGTACTACCGCAACTTGAAAGTGGTTTGTCGATGTTTAATCCCATCTGAACTTTAAATTCTTCATGGATTCTGCTTTTTTCCGCAGCTCTCAGTTCTTTCAATTCTTCATTATTTTTTGTTGATTTAGTAGGATAGTTTGTTTTTTTTTTCCTGGATCGCCTTGTATGATGGTAATATATTGTGTCCTTTTTCATGCAGAGCTTTTCTTAATATTTGGTACTTATTTCGACTGAGACCCAGTTCCAACATAAGCGCTATTGCTTCCTCTTCAGTAAAATTTGATTGTGATGTTGGAGTTGGTATACTTTCCACAATTCGCTTAAGTCGTTTTGGTGATGCATTAGGAAGAATAGTTGCAATATGTACAGCATCCATAGGTTGGTTTTCCTTTTTCAGCATTTCGTTAAATGTATCAGCAATTTCCTCATTTGAGATTGAAAAAAGTTTTTGTGTGACCCTCTTTTTTTTTACCTTGAACATAAGTCTTCGTATGACTTGCAAGGCGCTCCTATTGATGTGTTGTAAGTTGAGATTTCCGTAGTAGTTTCCATCCAACTACAAAATTTTAATCGAAATTTCTTTTGATTTCCATCCGCAGACTTACTTTTTACATCAAAAAGTTTTAAAAAGTTTTCAATTTTTGATATGCCTGTTTTGTCTACTTTTCTACTATATGTAGTTTTTATATAATTTGAAATGTCTTCAATTCTTTCTGGCCCTTTTGAAGATATACTCCATAAAACGGAACACAACTCTTCATACTTTAATGTAATCTTCATTGTAGATTTATTAAATATGGTACTTAAAATCTGAGAAGTTTACTTATATACCAATTCTTGTCAATTCCGATACAGGTATTCCAAAGTAAAAAATTACGAATTGTCTACCTATTAACATTTAGGACTATATTACTATAACCTGTAATTCAGTCATTGATATTTCTTATTAGTGAATGAATCGAAATTATCATTACCTGTATATTTTTACCTACATGATCATAAACGAAAAAATTTAGGTAAAAAATAGTTATAAATTTTTGAAAATTTAAGCATAATAGGACCTTTCAATTATAAGGATAAGCAAACAAATAGAAAATAGGTAAATATAAGATTTAAATATGTTCTGTCATACTTAATACTAAAATATGAAAAAGATGAAATTAAAGGACACAGGTTTAAATGAACATATTTTTGAATGTAATTGAGATATTGGCTTGAAATTGTTTGTAAAGGGTCGAGAATTTCCATATCTAACTAAAAAATGATATTAAGGGATAAATATGGACTAAATTGTTGTAGCTATCTGCGATCCTATTAAAATTTTGATATAAATCATAGTTTTAGAAATTAAACAAATATGTAATATATGACAAAATCTTTATTTATGAACAAAACTCAATGAAATTTTCAACGCTTGTTAAATTTGTCATTTCAAATAAGAATATGCAAAAAAAATTGAAAAGGTCAAAGGGCATCCCGCAATTCCCAAAAATAGGAATGAAAATCCCAAAAATGGGATTTTTTACTTTTTTGCCCATAGGGTCCACATTTCTTTCAGGGCTGGGAAAATACTTTTGGAGTAAATAGAAAACATATTGAGGTTTCCAAAACTGCTTTCAGTTTTCTGATCCCAGCTTTGGGATTTTAGAACATGTCGCCCAAAGTTGAAGTTTTGATAAAAAATAGGTCATATTCGGAAGGACGCAGTGGCAACATTTTCTAAAAATAGGACAAGTTTTTTACGCCAAAGCGTTCTGCGTAAAGATACCTTTTAGAAAACTATAAAATTGTTATATGTTCTTAATAAAAATTTTATTTTATTAATAAAAGAGTTAAGACACATTTTTGGCAAAAAAACGCCAAAAATCTAAAATTTTTTGAATTTTTAGATTAAAAAACGTATATTTTTGGATCTGTAAACGATATTGATCTGAAATTATATTGGAAATTTTGTTGTCTAACTAACAAGAAAAAATTGAGTCCATTTGGTCCAAAATTACGCCCGGTATTCAAAAAAAGGCGGACCAAGGTATGGTAAATTTTGTATCACTAAATTTTTAAATGCCTATAACTCGGATATTATAAGAGATAAGTAGTATGTCCAAGCATGTTTTTTCAAGATCTCGTCGAGCGCTTTCACAAAATATAAAAATCTTTGTATTTGGGTGAAAAACAAAAAAATGGCACGAGTTTAAAAATTTTACATGTCGTAGGTACCCTACTTTGAGCCGCCACAGCGCCGTCCCTGGGGCATCTGCAGGGTTCATCTTCAAAACTTAAACTCGAATACTCCTTGGCTACGCTCACGCCAAATTTTATCCCGATCGGATCAGCCGTTTAGAAATGCCAGATTTATTTCCAAAAAATTTCCATTCTGCCCCACTGTGGGGTGTAGTGTCAACTATAAAAAGATCTTTATAAAATTTGGTAAAAAGATTTTGGTTCCTACATAATTTGTTTATATTTTATGGGTTTATTATATCTCCATCCTCATAAAATTTGGTACGTAGTTTTTGGATTCCATAAAAGTTCAAGACTGTTATGAGCGTTAAACTTACATTTTGAAGGGGAACGTCTACATGCAGAAAGGCCAATTATGGACCGATTCATATAAAAACTTAGCAAAAAGATTTCGGTTAATATAAAATGAGTTTTTGTCGAATTTCATTGCTGTACTTGTTTTTCTGGGGGATATACATTTTTAAAGAAAGATACATATAAACAGGTATTTGTATGTAAACCGTCAATCTGCTGTTTCGATAAAATATAACCAGACATTGAGAAAATGGGGGTATGTCTGTTAAAGTTGTTTTTCGGAGAGCACTTGTATGGGGTGTAGCATATAACGTATAAAAAGTTTAAAATGTTTTGAAAGCATAATCAGGCGAGTCGCATGCAATTATCCAGCCTTATTGCTCGTCGGAGGGGAGGTTCGTTGCCTGTCGCTTCGTAAGAATTTCGCTACTCAAAGATTTTAAAATTTGCATGCTAAATGTTCAATAAAAGGAACAGAAAAGCCAAAATATTAAAGGAAAACCATCTAAAAGATCAATATAATTTGAATCTATGTTGTTTTTGATCCAATCATCTGCCCACCCAACCATGATTACTAACATTTTAACCAAAACAAACTATTTAGTAATCCCATTTCCTGACAGCAAATTTAACCAAAAAGTTTTCAAATCAAAACAGTTAAATATTTAAAATTTAGCCAAAAATCATTTTGATTTATTTAAATAAAATTTCAATATAAAAATCTAAACATTATTTTAATTTCTTTAAGAAACAATTTAATTTTCACTCTAAATACTCTAAAAATAATTTTGAAATAACAAAAGAAAATCTTTACAAAAACAAAATTATCAAATCAAAAACTCTTAAACTTAACATAAATTTGCTTTATAAACTGACTATGTGGTCAATAACCCTATACAGAATGAACAAAAAGTATTATGACAAGGAAATTTGGAACCATATTAAAATTTAACAAAAAAACATTGATAAATTGGAAAATTTTAAATTATTAAATGTTTTCTACCGTATTTATTTTATCTAGCATTATCTTTTTGTAAATTTTAATCATTTAATTAATTTAATTGTAAAAATAAAAAAATTATAATATGGTCACCCCAAATAACAAAAAGGTAATTAAAATATATAGCAAATCAAACTTTTACAGAGAACAATAAATAAACAATATAAAAACAAAATTTAAAAGAGACTTACATTGATGTAATCTTATTGTAGCTCCCACGACGAAAGATCTTTCGTAATGTACAGCAGCATATATGTATGTATGTGATGTGGAATGTATTTAAGAGAGAGTTACTAAAATGTTGTTTTATAGGTTCTCTGTAGCACAATATTTCTTTCTGTTAAATTTAACTTTTTAATTTAATTATAATATTTTTTTTTGATTTAATAATACTACTTATAATTCATTTGCATTAACTTAAAGCCCAAACGATATTTGTATATTATTTTACACTCATAACACTACTAAAAATAACAATTATTTTTTACAGCATTGCCAAATCAAATTTTTACTTGCATGCGGAGAGAATTTACAAAAATAAGAATGTTAACAAACATGTATGTATGTATATATGTACTTAAGGGCTGTTGTTTTCAATTGTTAATGCAATTGCATTATAAGCAAGCAAACTTGTTTATTTAAAATTAAGGAATTCTTAAAAAAAACACTGGACAACAGAAATATACTTAATTTACACTTAACACATAATTTGCTAGATTTAAATTTAATTTTTTTTCGTTTTAGGCAAACATTTAAGTTTTTCTTTGCAAATTCAAAGGATAATTTTTCTTTTTTCTTGTTTAACTCTTGTTTTTTTTTTTGTAGTTTCAGTGAATTTTTTTTTTTCAAAAACAATTTTTTTTTTTACATTTAAATATACATATATTATTTAAGTTTTACTTTCTTTTTATTCTATTTTTTCTCGTAAGTTGAGTTTTATTTTCGATTTTTCTGACTGTGTTCATATTTTTGTTTGCCAGTGTAAAATTATATTGGTTTGTTTTGCGAATATTTTGTTTTTTTTTTCGTTAATACACTCTTATTTATAACATTTCAATATTTTTCTTTTTTTTTATTTTTAATTTATATATATTTTACCCACTTTTCAGCAATATTTATGTTTTAAATGGTTTTTTTTTTTGTTTTTTTTTTTTAAATATTGTTTAATTTTTTTTTTGAATTTCACTGCACATCTACGATCACCAAAAGCCTAAATTAACTGAAGCTATAGTCTCTCCAATGAAATGTACACAGCCTTTTTTTTTAGACAGAAGAAATGTACAAGCTGACAAACAAATAAATCTGTAATTAGGTGCCAATCTAAATAACAACAAAAATATATGTTTTTGTTACAATAATATGAAGAGAGATTATTTTTAATACCAAAATTACCATTAAAATTGACACCAAATATAAAAAGAAACCCACCAGATATTCGAAACCCAATAGACATAGGTGATTTTGATCTATAATTCAAATATTAAATAGTTTTGCTCAAATCAATATGGAAATCTTATTTCACTGAGAAAACCTTACCCTTTTATTTTGATTTTCATCTAAATAGAAAATAATTTCAATTAGGAGCAGCTTTGACCATGCAAAAATATTTGATTTTGTTTCCTCTCACAAAAAGAAAACTAACAGAAAACGTATAAAAGAAAAAAATTTAATTAGGCTTATTATTCTGCAAAAGGAATAAAAGCTCAAAAATTGAAATCAGCTTCACTTGAAATACTTACAATTTTTTTCTTATAATTTTTTTTTTAAATAAACTTTAATAAAAACTTTGAACTTTATATGAACTAAGTTTTGAAAAATTTGAAAGAACAACGTTCAAGAAAACTTGTCAATGCTAAGCGATCTCCAAAGAAAATGGCAGAGTTTTTCCTCTAAAGGCATAATGAAAGCTTGGTTGGCGTCCGTAATCTAGCGGTTTGGAAAAGTAACATGTCTATTCCCTAAATTTAATTAGATTTTCGTAAACAAATATCAATATAAATGTCAATTGAACGATAGGAGTGATATACATGTTTCGGCTTTACCCCCATAGATGGCGTTGTAAGAAATGTAAACGACACTGTTAAGTTTTTAACGGAAATAAAACAAAACAATATTCGAATTGTTTTGTTTTATTTCATTTAATTAATTTAATTGTAAAAAATAAAAAAATTATAATATGGTCACCCCAAATAACAAAAAGGTAATTAAAATATATAGCAAATCAAACTTTTACAGAGAACAATAAATAAACAATATAAAAACAAAATTTAAAAGAGACTTACATTGATGTAATCTTATTGTAGCTCCCACGACGAAAGATCTTTCGTAATGTACAGCAGCATATATGTATGTATGTGATGTGGAATGTATTTAAGAGAGAGTTACTAAAATGTTGTTTTATAGGTTCTCTGTAGCACAATATTTCTTTCTGTTAAATTTAACTTTTTAATTTAATTATAATATTTCTTTTTGATTTAATAATACTACTTATAATTCATTTGCATTAACTTAAAGCCCAAACGATATTTGTATATTATTTTACACTCATAACACTACTAAAAATAACAATTATTTTTACAGCATTGCCAAATCAAATTTTTACTTGCATGCGGAGAGAATTTACAAAAATAAGAATGTTAACAAACATGTATGTATGTATATATGTACTTAAGGGCTGTTGTTTTCAATTGTTAATGCAATTGCATTATAAGCAAGCAAACTTGTTTATTTAAAATTAAGGAATTCTTAAAAAAAACACTGGACAACAGAAATATACTTAATTTACACTTAACACATAATTTGCTAGATTTAAATTTAATTTTTTTTCGTTTTAGGCAAACATTTAAGTTTTTCTTTGCAAATTCAAAGGATAATTTTTCTTTTTTCTTGTTTAACTCTTGTTTTTTTTTTTGTAGTTTCAGTGAATTTTTTTTTTTCAAAAACAATTTTTTTTTTTACATTTAAATATACATATATTATTTAAGTTTTACTTTCTTTTTATTCTATTTTTTCTCGTAAGTTGAGTTTTATTTTCGATTTTTCTGACTGTGTTCATATTTTTGTTTGCCAGTGTAAAATTATATTGGTTTGTTTTGCGAATATTTTGTTTTTTTTTTCGTTAATACACTCTTATTTATAACATTTCAATATTTTTCTTTTTTTTTATTTTTAATTTATATATATTTTACCCACTTTTCAGCAATATTTATGTTTTAAATGGTTTTTTTTTTTGTTTTTTTTTTTTTAAATATTGTTTAATTTTTTTTTTGAATTTCACTGCACATCTACGATCACCAAAAGCCTAAATTAACTGAAGCTATAGTCTCTCCAATGAAATGTACACAGCCTTTTTTTTTAGACAGAAGAAATGTACAAGCTGACAAACAAATAAATCTGTAATTAGGTGCCAATCTAAATAACAACAAAAAATATATGTTTTTGTTACAATAATATGAAGAGAGATTATTTTTAATACCAAAATTACCATTAAAATTGACACCAAATATAAAAGAAACCCACCAGATATTCGAAACCCAATAGACATAGGTGATTTTGATCTATAATTCAAATATTAAATAGTTTTGCTCAAATCAATATGGAAATCTTATTTCACTGAGAAAACCTTACCCTTTTATTTTGATTTTCATCTAAATAGAAAATAATTTCAATTAGGAGCAGCTTTGACCATGCAAAAATATTTGATTTTGTTTCCTCTCACAAAAAGAAAACTAACAGAAAACGTATAAAAGAAAAAAATTTAATTAGGCTTATTATTCTGCAAAAGGAATAAAAGCTCAAAATTGAAATCAGCTTCACTTGAAATACTTACAATTTTTTTCTTATAATTTTTTTTTTAAATAAACTTTAATAAAAACTTTGAACTTTATATGAACTAAGTTTTGAAAAATTTGAAAGAACAACGTTCAAGAAAACTTGTCAATGCTAAGCGATCTCCAAAGAAAATGGCAGAGTTTTTCCTCTAAAGGCATAATGAAAGCTTGGTTGGCGTCCGTAATCTAGCGGTTTGGAAAAGTAACATGTCTATTCCCTAAATTTAATTAGATTTTCGTAAACAAATATCAATATAAATGTCAATTGAACGATAGGAGTGATATACATGTTTCGGCTTTACCCCCATAGATGGCGTTGTAAGAAATGTAAACGACACTGTTAAGTTTTTAACGGAAATAAACAAAACAATATTCGAAAACAATTAAACAATATATTTGTTATTTATTATTCAGTTAATCAGTTATATGCTATGGTTTTTTTTTTATATGTTATTGTTTTAATAATTTAATTTTCCTTTAGTTAGTTATATATATATTTATTAATTTATTATTAATTCATTAGTTTATTTATTGATTTATTTATTTGATTATTGGGTAGAAAATATATAAATTAATATCAAAATCATTTTATCATAGCAAGCGACATTACATTTCCCCCCTACCAAAATCAGACTTTGGGGTTTGAAGAAGACAAAACACAAAGCTGATTACGCTTGCATTAGAAATCTAATATTTAAATATTATTGCCGAATGTCTTTGGCATGGGAATTTCCTATCAGATTTCCTTTTAAATCCTCAAGTTCATAGTAACTTTTCCCAATCTTTTTACGTACACGAGCTTTTACAAATGTCGGAGCAAGTTTTGCATTATAGCCCTGTTCAAAATTGCTTTGCCTGAAATTCCGGCGGAAAACCTCTTGACCTTCATCATAGGAAACCTCTTTGGCTCTTAGGTTGTAAGACTTTTCATTGCGTTCAAACTGTTTTTGCATCAATTCTGAAGCTTTCTTGGCAATAATTTGAAGTGAATCGTTTCTGTCAAAACGCACAGACCGATCATCTAACATTTCAAGCTGTCGTAACAAAGAATATGTAGCACCGTTTGTAACCATATGTTGGCCAAAGGTCAAATAGTAAGGTGATGTTCCAATGGCCGAATGAACTGCTGAACGTAGGGCACAGCTTATGTTACTAAGGAGCTCATTCCAATTCTTCTGATCTGGCTTTATATAGGATTTGATTGCAGATAAAACAGATCTATTTACGCGTTCAGAAGCATTGGCCTGAGGTGCATGAACTGCCGTAAACGTATGATTTACACCATACCTTTTCAAAAAATCCGCAAACTGTTTTGCCTTAAATTGTGAACCATTGTCCGATACTATATTTTCAGGGACACCGAAAGTATGAAACAAATCTTGTTCTAAATATTTTATAACTACATCCGACGTTAACTTCTTCACGGCCTTCAAAAACGGAAACTTAGAATAATGATCCAACACAATGAAAATTCCTACATTTCCTGTTCGAGATCTTGGATAAGGTCCTAAAAAATCAATGAAAATCTTTTGAAAGAATCGTTGAGTATCTCCTATTTTCCCCATAGGTGGTCTAAGAACCTGGTTAGGATGTTTTGTTGTTTTACAAATCTCACAATTGTTTATATAAGTATTGACATCAACAGCTAAATTCGGCCAAAAATAAAATCTTCTGATCCTATCAAGTGTCTTGTTTATACCACCATGAGCTGATAAAGTATTATTATGAGCCCTATACAAAACATCAGGAACCATATCTTTTGGAATCCATAGTTTCCATGATAAATCATCATGAAGCTTTTCTCCTTTAGCATGTTCAGTACGTCGGTAAAGGTAACCGTCCACAATCTTTAAGTCCGGCAACTGGTCCAATTTTTCCCCAACCTTGTCTAAAAGCTGTCTGTATTCATCCGATTTGAAATGTGTAGAATCAAGGTCTACAAAAACCCCAGTATCACTGTCTGAATCTGTCAGACTGTCAATCCCTAAAGCGGACATGTCGTCAGTATTGGCCCTAGATAAAGTATCAGGAACTATGTTTAAACTACCACGTCTATGCTGAATGTCAAATTTGTAACCCTGCAGTTTTAAAGCCCATCGAGCAAGCCGCGTACTCAGATCTGTTTGAGACATAAGCCACTTCAATGACGCATGATCAGTGATGACTGTGAACTTATGTCCTTCGACATATGGTCTGAATTTCTTAATACTTAGCAAAGCTGCCAAGCATTCCTGTTCGGTTACTGAATAGTTTCGTTGGGCTTGATTGAGTTTCTTGGACATAAATGCCACAGGAACCTCTTCACCTTCCGAATTCTTTTGAACCAGTACGCTTCCTATACCCGTTTTACTAGCATCACAATGTATGAAAAACGGTTTAGTGAAATCTGGGCTATATAAAACGGGAGCGGTGCTCAAATGAGACTTTAAAACTTCGAAAGCCTTTTGAGCTTCATCGGTCCAAACAAATTTTCTTTTACTACTCAACAAATCAGTCATAGGTGTAGTAATAGAAGCATAATTCCTAATAAATTTCCGGTACCATCCCGTCAATCCCAGAAATCTTCGAACTTGTTTTACAGATCGCGGTACTGGGAAATCTGTTATGGCGGACACCTTTTCCGGATCTGTTTGAATAACCCCGTTACCAACCAAATGACCTAAATATTTCACTTCCGGTACACAAAACCTACTCTTTTCTACGTTAATAGTCAGTCCAGATTCCCGAATTTTACTTGCAATAACCCTTAGAACCTCAAGATGTTTTTCAAACGTATCCGAAATGA